GATGTTTCTGGAAGCTTATCTTTTATTGTTTTAATTATACTAGATCAGTTATGCTACTGACCGTGTAAAAGCTCCAGAGCAAGAATGTTCCTAAGTATAGATTTGTTTTTAAAGACTCTAGGCTCACCCCCTCTTGTGCTTACACCACCTCTCAAAGACTGATGGGAAGACTGGGCATAGGTAACGATCCTGTGTGAACAAGGAGGCTCTTGTAGAAGCAGTCACTGCAACTTTTCAGCAGAATAGCATGAAGGTTTGATTAGGGGTGGAGGAGTGGGAAGCAGTGTGGATAGAAGCAGAAGCCTCATTAGGAGAAAGACGTGTTAAAAAGAAGTATATTTCTGGAAAATAAACTGCTCCCTTTGCTCCCCAAGAAGAGGGCTGCAACTCTGTCAAACATTAAGTGTTCTGTTTGACCATGTGATACCCACAATCTTGGACTGTACAATGGTACAGGTTCCAATAGAGCTGTACAAACACACACCAGGACACACAACTGCAGTAGTTAAAGGGACCTGTCAATGTGTCCGCTCATCTAAGCAAAGTCTCAAAAACCTAAAAATCATACAGCATTTCTTCTCCTGGCTGTGGTACACAGACACTGTAGGTGTTTCTCATAGCCACAGCTGGTGTACTAGTGGCCTAATAGTTAAGCACTGTCTTCTGGAGGGAAAAGCTTCTAAAATATCAGATTCAGATATTAATCTACCTTTCTCCCTTAGCAAAATCATCAATTCATATATTATAAAGCATTTTTGTTTTGTTATGTTTCTTTTGCTTCAGATAATGCAAAATTAAATACATATAAGAGAACTGAGAAAGCCTGCTGCTTATTAAAAACTCAGCAAGTTATTCTGGAGAGCTGCTTGTGTTAGCTGAAACAGCTATACAATCACCATCATTAAGGAGATGCCTGCATTTCCCAGACTTTCTGCTTTTTGGCTATAACATACATAACATGTATAAATATCACTCACCCAAATTCTTGAATGAGATATTTGAGACCTCTGTCTCAAAAAAAACTTCAAAAAACCAAACCCACAAAATACCTTATCAGGGTAGTTCGGTCTTTCAAAAAGAAAAGCAAAATGTCTTGTTCTTTTTTGTTTTGGGGTTTGGGTTTTTTTTTGTGTGTGTGGCATAAAGGCGACTTATGAATTGTCATGTCTGTTTAGGGTATAGAGATATTAAGAACTCCTCAAACAACGTGCTTCTGAAATCACACAAAATTGAACTGCAATACAGATCAATCAGTTAATGAAAATCACAAAGCAGAAGAGATCTAAGGCTACTTAACATTATGCTCTGTGCAGCATCCTTATCACTGCAGCTCACCAACAACAACAGTGCAGTGACGGAAGCTGAAATTACTGGCAGAAACACACAACTCAAGCACTGCTAATGCAAACTCAGAATTCAGACAGTCATTATTCCTTATTTTGAACATAAAATGATAAGATTTATGAACAAACAAGAGAACTAAAATTTCTGCAGCCATTAGGCAAAAATGAACATTATTTTAAAACTCAAACAACAAAACCAAAGCAACAACCAAACAACATTCTCCACCCCACCCCACCAAAAAACCAACCCAAACCAAACACATCCAGTATCACAACAGACTTCAAGGTTTCAAGCTTTGGGTCCTGCCAAAGTAGCCCCTACTGGCTGCTTGCTTGGACAAAGAGTGTGTTCAAAATAGTCACCGTGACAGACTATAGTGTTTATTCTCCAAATAGCTAAAAGATGACAAATATAAACACGTGCTTTCTACCTAAAAACCGGGAGACTATGCATGGAAGCAAAAGCTACAAACACTCGAGTCATGTATCACCTGTATTAGCTGTCCCACTCTGCCTTGTTCAATGGTTAGTGGGCTCACAGTGCTCGCCCTGCCTGGCACAACTGGTAAGGATCCCAAGGATAGCTATGGCAGTGGCAGTGGATGCTGGTAGTTGAATATGCAGCATGTTTTCCAATGTTTTAAGTAAGTTTTGGTCACGCTTTAAGACAAAATGCCAGAAGAAAGCAAGCAATAAGATGACATTCACAAAGGATGTTCTCTGCAGCATTGTATCTTCCGCTATAATTAACCTTACTTTTCCACAAAACAGAGTACTATTCAGTACTACATTCTATTCATTTGACTCTTTTCTTGGCTTGAAAATTGTTCCCTCTTCTCTCCTCTCATTAAACCTTAGTTGCCTGTATTGCTCTTGCTACTTGTTGAGTACAGCTCTATTGCCTCAGAGCCCACAACGATAGTTCCTTATATTTGGTTGATCTGAGGATCAATATTAAAAGTACACCCTGAGTAAACCAAAAAGCATGCAAAGTCAAACCGGAGAAAAAGCTCTGGTCATGCCCTTCCACTTTGGTCTCCTCATGTTGTCTTATTAAGAACACTTTGTTTAAATCTTTATTGCATTGCCCTAGGCTATCTGGCTAAAATCGTTCTTTTCATGATCAAGGAGAGCCTCCCCACAATGTCTTAGTATTACAGAAACCACTGTCAAAACAATTCCATAATAAACAACTCTCTCAAACAATGCCTTATAACCACTTGCCAAGATGAGCTACAACACTACAGAATCTCACACAGATAGATAATTGCTGCTAAATTTTTGAGAACAATCAGCTGAGGTGCTATACATTCAAAGACATTTCAAGATATGTTACTGATATTTTTTTGTAGCCTAACAACTGCAGATACACAACTGTATTTGGAAAAGCTAGAAACTACCTCACTATAGGGTGAGAGATAATGAGTTAAAATTAAAGGTTGCTGCTGGCTTGCTAGCCCATCCCCCTTTAGCTAATCTGTCATGTAATGAAGAGAAGCACCTAGCATAGGACAGCTAGCTGCCGGCTCACTTACAGTGAGCTGATTAAGAATGTTCAACCAACAGCAGACTGCAGACCTTTCCAACAAAAATAAATAGACTGTATGCAAATGTGTTTGTCACTTTGACAGCATGTCTCAATTAAAGCATCTCGCTGCTGTTGGTAGGCTCTCTCACTGCAGTGGTATGGACGAGGCTTACTGCATTACTGATACACAGGGCTTGACCCTAATCCGCATGCATGCATTTTAAAAAAGTCTGCCTTTGCCATATACACTAGCATAATACTAGCAGACATAGAAAGCAAGTGACAATGAGAAAAAAGCCTCTTTCATCCTCTTCAGTTTATAAGAACTGTGAATGCACAAACAGCCCTTATTTCAGAGTTCTTGTGGCTTTTTAATTGTTCCCACCTACTGTATTCTTGACAGAGTTAAAAGTGACACTAAAATCTCTCCCTTTAATCACTAGTTAGAAGCCATCTCCCATTTGAACAGTAAATGTTGCTGCTTTTTTCCTCCCCAAAGCCTTAATTTATATTTCATAAACCTGAACATCTTTTCCTTTTGAATGAAAGTATGATTTAATTTTCATTTTGGCATTGGGCTATCAGGAAAAAAAGACCTGTGAAAGGACAAAGGCTATAAGTGAGATAGACCTACAACTGCTAAGTTAGATCATTTTTTGGAAACCGACATTTGTAATGTAATGGCAGTAATAAGCATTTAGCAAGCGAGCCTTTCACCGCAGCCAGTAGTTCAGTAAAGCTGATGTGTGTTTCTTTTGACACAGAGAAAGCGTTCATTAAAAAATTTGAAAGTGACCATTAAAAAACCCTCATGAATTTAAATTTCCACTCGATTATATATTTCCTTAATTTAGCAAAATGTTTGAACCATCCATCCTCCATAAAAATCTAAAGGAAAAAAACCTGAAAGTAGATTATAATATTATCTGGATTTCTGACTGCTTTAAATGAAATGTAACATTTTTCTGCTAGAGCTAGATGGCTACATTTCTCCAGTAGCCCCAATTCCTCTCAAATATATTGGCACAGAAAGTAAGTGAAAAATAAATCACTACTGCAAATACTTAATTGGAAGAGAATCTGTTTTTTAAAAAAGTCTCCAAGAACCTACATTTAGCACAGTGGTGAAAGTTCTGAAAGAAATCTAATTCTAAAATGATACAGACAACATTGCTCTGAGCAACGATTAAATCTCGTGTAGCCCTATCTAATACCTAAACAGTCAATGCAGCTATACTGACTAGTTTCTATTAATAGATACTTATCTAAAAATCTGGTTTGCTTCACATTTTATAGTTCTCAATATTTTACAATTGTTTTAAAATTACACTATGTTTCCTTAGAAGAAATCGGATACTCACTTCTGTTTTCTGATCATAATAATGTAAAAAACAGATACAGGGAAAGAAGAGAGAACTGTGAACACAAATAACGTTATTTTTTGAGTCAGGCTACACTTAATAGGGGAACACTGGCAAACTGGTAATAAATACTGTATGTTTTTCCATTAAAATCAGAGCAACTACATTTTCTAAATAACTAGCTCTTAAAAAAACCACACAACCAAACTTACTCTTTTGCAGACATATCAAAAGAAACATTATAAGAGTAACTAATGTGTATAGCTCAGTTGTCAATACTGAAATACAGAGTACACTAATAAGCTACTAATTGATTTTTCCATCTCAGTTCATCGCATTTAATTTTCAGAGAATGTTAAAATGCTTTAATAGTTGGATGTTCCATATTGACACTAATGATCTGGCTAGATAACAGAGGACATTTTAAATTATACATCCTCAGTCCTGAGGGTTATAGCACTTTGCATGCTAAAAGAACAGCAAAATAGTTTATAAAATAGTTTATAAAATTGCTATAGTAATTATGCTCCCTCCCATTCACTTAGAATTTATTTTCCTCAAAAGCATTCTATGAACAAAAGGAATCAGTAAACCCCAGAAAAAAACAGGTTTTAGAATACCATTTAAACAGATACAACAGAAACAGATCTATAACATAATTCAGTTGCAAAAAATAATGAAACAATTGGCATATTCGTTACTCTGACTGTTCACTGAACTATTTTTGCTGAGTCGCACAATTTAAAGAAACCTAACACTAAAACATACCTGACCAAAGTGTACTGTGATTGGTCTTCTGTCTTCTCTTAATTTAGGGTCCTTCTTTTCAACCAATGGAGAAGGTGCTGTCCTTGGTAGAGATTCCTCCGGTGCTGCAGAACACCCATTCTCAGCAATGTCCTGTATGGTAGGAAAAGGTGAATAGCATGGCCAGGAACATTCTTGATTAAGGGTAAGGGGCACAAAGGAGACACTAGAGGATAATGTTGACTAACAATTTTGATGTTAGGGGAGAAGAAAACCAAAGTACAGAAAAGAAAACATCATTAGAATAAAACATTTTGTTGCATTTTGTCAATCAGAGCTTGTACACAACCACTCTCTCCTCCTAATATAAATGTTGCATGTAAACAGATACATTCAATGAAATGTCTGACTTAAACATGCAAAAGCCAGGAAATATATAGGGAGAAGAAAAACATAGCTCAAAATTTCTATTCTAGGAACAAATTCAACAGAAATCTAGGAAGAGGGCTATTCTGCTTTTTGTAAACCTAAATGAAAACAGTAATTCTATTTATGTACTTAACAGGATTATCTGTAGCAGAACAATTACTTGTGGAAGTGGCAAGGAGACATGAAACTCACAGCTTAGTTAGCTTTGCATTTTATCTTTGAGTCTGTGTATACTGAATATGCCCTCAGGAGATTGTATAAAACAAACTGCTGCCTAGCAGGATGCTTTTTTGTTTTGCTTTGCTTTTGCTTTTGCCATTAGTCCTCATCTTCAGAAGTGATGTGACCCACCAACCTAGGTTAGAAGACTTGGCAAGTGTATGTATGGTATATGTAACATAGGTTTTGAAAATGACAAAGGCATGCAGACATAAGGAATCAGACAAGGAGAAAAGAGTTTAAAAGTCAGTTGAGAAATAGTCTGTAACGCAGTGGGCCCCAAACCTTACATCTCTTTGCAACAATGTCAAGGAAATAATGCTTGGTAAATATAGAGAGAAACCTGCTCACACTGTAGCTCCACAAGACTGACCTAAGGTTGGCTGCTGACATAGACATTGCTTTGATTCGCTGACCTTTGACATGCCCCCTCAAGTTTCTGTCTTGCTAAGGTACAATAATGAGACATGTAAGCTGATGGCCAATTAGAAATGGTTCTTTTGGACACAGACTGACCTAATGTGTTTAGGTCAAATGAAACAAAAAGCTGGATGGACTTTCTAAGGGGCTTTGTCTGCTCCACAGAGAAGCTGAGAGACCTTTTTAGATCCAGCTGGTAGAGCAGTGGTTCACCATATGGGCATAAGGATCGTGGGGAAATTAACAACTTGTTAAGGTCAAACTAGAGAGAAAAACTTTTTCCTCCCCACGCCCTCCAGCTGCACAATGCTACCTTGTCTTTAAAAAAAAAACAACAACAAAGTACACTGAATTAGTAACAAAGAGCCCCCAAACAAGCCCCTTCTGTCAAACTCATACTTCGGCTCCAAAACAGCAACAACCTATCAAGGGATCTGGTCAGCTTTGGAATCACATAACCTATGGCAGCAACATATACTGTTCTGAAGTGTAATGACATTAAATACAGACTTTACTTACATATTTCTATACAAGTATATGTGTATGTGTGTATATATACACACACTAAATGTGCACCAAGCTTCAGACCTGTTACGTATATGCCATCATGGTGCCCAGCACATTGAAAGCCACCTGACCTGCACTGAACAGCGGACGTTCCCAGCATTTCAGAGCTTTCAGGGTTCCACCTGGAGCTGAGGCTCCAACCAAGGCAAGAGACAGCTGGGAATCAACAGAAAGCAAAGCACCTTCCAATCCAGGCCAAAATTTCCAGAAAAATGTAAAATGGACACAAAAGTTTGGACGTCAGGGGAATGGGAGGAGATAACAGATACAGACAGATCAAGCCATTAAGCAAAACCCCCTAAGATGTATAACGATCGCTGCAAATCCTTGCAGCTTTTATTGCTATAGATTTGCTGTACTTCTCTGATGATATAATTGCATACAAACGATAACATGTTCCTAAACTGTATTTCCACTGTGTTTGGCGTACAGACTTCCAAAGAAATTGCAGCAGGTTTCAGGCAATTTTTTTTTTTTAAATTTACTTAATAAAATACGAGAATTAAACTATTTGATACCTCTCGATTTTTTCAAAATCCCCAAAAGGCAGACAAATCAACAACACAGCTTCGGTCATCAAAACAAAATTTGCTTCACAAAAGTCTGTTTTCTACCTCTCATGAAAACACATTTGAGCAAAATAAACAGAGAAACCTGTTTTTAAATGCCCCAAATAAGGGCTCTAAGTAGCTTTAAAATCATTAAATGTCGAAGTGTTTGGCAATTCTATAATTGGAAAGTAGACAACAATCCTTCAAAGCAGTCTGTGACACACCTTCAGACCACTAACAGACTTTGAATACAGTTATTCAGAAGTCAGTGGGGAGTACAAGACAGACGGAGAGGTAGAACCACAAATAGGAAAACAGGACTCTCCAGTTCTGAATTTCAGCTTCAGAAAGGTATCAGGGCTCACAAAACGTCTACTGATAAAAGCAGTTCTTCAGCTCGAGAACTACAAATGACCAAAGAACTGCAGTGGATCATAGTGCAGGCAGGCCTTAAAAAAGCAGTGCCCATTTCTGGTACTAAAAGAAAAGCCAGTTAGACCTGTGCATCCCAACTGAGGGAGAGGATTTACCAGCCAGAATGCTGTCTCATACTTCCACGCTGCTTCCGAGACCAGCGCTAGCACTTCCACCTGAAGCTGTGCCGTGTAAGTGTACCAGATTGGTTGGTGCTCATGAGCAGTTCTTCGTACTGCAGTGCACCATACCAGGTAGGTATGTCCTAAGTCTGACTTTTCAGTTCTGACACGTTCCCAAAAAAGGGATTTGGTACAAGCCAGTGAGACTCTCCTGAAGTAGCTTAAGTCATATATATATATTACTCAGGATAACAACAAAAAACATGAGACCTATTCCTCAACCAAAAAGTAGAAAAAAATTCTCCAGAAATGCAAAAACCTAGCAATGTTTCAGTGACTTTTTAACGAAGAGAAAGTGTAATTTAAGGATATTATTAAAACAGAACTACCTTTTGCCTGAGGAAAAAAAGATACTTCATAGATTACTGGAAAAAGAGAATGACAATGATCTATCACACTCCGTAATTATCTCCATATATAAACAGTGCTTCCCCTAACAACTGTCTTGTTCAGGTGAAATCTTTACTACCTATTTATTTTAAAGGAGGATCTTCAGAGAATGAGTAAGATATATATTTACAGATATGCAAAGTTTACCCTGTAAACTGAATAAGGTTTTCTTCTGTTTAAATATGCATTAGTAATTTTTCTAGGGACCTTTTGTAATGGACTACAAATACTGCCTATTAGAAGAGCAAAAAACAGATCCCAGAATGTCTAGAAGGATTCTTCAGGTTATTTTATAAACTTCTAAATGAGTTGTTTCTAGCTGTACTGATAATAAAGCACTGACAACAGCCCACTGATAACAGACATTAACTAGAGCCACACGAGGCTCCAGTAAGTAAAATAATGTTGAATACATTAACGCCAAGTGCCCAACCGTTTATATAAATTGTCTTATCCAGAAGCTTTCAGTAAGTTACATTCTCCTTACTGAAAGTTGAGGACGGTACCATTCATATTCCTCCTTTTTCCTAATTCTATGTAGTTAAGCTTCAAACGAGCCAATAACAGAGTGACTTGACCACCATCATCCATTTGTGAAATGGAAAAAGCAGCCTTTACAAAAAAAAAGGAAAGAAAAAGAAAAACGAAAGGAAAGAAAAAGAAAAAAGTACTATATCAGATATAAAATAAAGCTACCATGCTGTATCTATTAACAATTATTTGCTATCACTCATAAGAATCCTCTGAAAACTATTTCTGTTGCTTTGAAATACTGTACCACAAATGAACAAGGGATGGAAATAGAGCCCCATTCAATCTTTACTATCATATTAAAGAAGGACCTTACACACACCACAGTGACCTCTCAACAGGTCAATCCTGCATTTCTCATTTGCAATTCAAACCCAAGACTGGAGCAGACCAAGGGCAAAATGGGCTCTTGATTATATTTAAGAGGTCACCATTGCTATGCAGAGTTGTAGGAAGCAGACCTCTAGCTTTATTGCATTTTTAAATTCTATCTTGTACAGAAGCTGCTCATATTTGGCAGTGAAAACTGGAAAAGGGATGTTTATATTTGACTTTTCCTTATCAGTGGCCTGCATATTTTTTGTATTAATAATGGAAAATAATGTGTTAAAAAGCAGTGGATAGTAAGTTCAGTTTAAAAATAACCTTAGGTTATCCTTAGAAGATGAAAGACTAGCATCCCAAATCTGGCAAAAATTAAGTATTTAGTGGTGCTAGAATTTCAAACAGTTAACACTTGCACATACTAGTAAGTAAACAAATGAAAAATACAACATTCTCACATGAAAATTGGTGAGGATGCAGTAACAGACTTGTCAACAGAGCAGGACAGACATTCAGATTAAAAATAATATGAGGGTGGCCAAAACAATTTTTCCTATTTTTATCACTTTAAACAGAGCAATACCTCATTTTAGAGTTACCTTCCCGTATTGCATTCAAAATGGAGAAGAAGATGGGACAGAAAAGAACGGAGTTAATGAAGAAAGGAGAGGTAGAGCAGTATGTGTCAACTACTCACAGAAATCTTTTAAGCTCTTGTGAAAGCATATGTTGAACAATCATGTTTAACCATCTTACAGAAATGCCACATACTAAGGAAGGTGAAACAAAATTGGGCCATTTATTTCTAGATGTTATGTGTGGTTTTTAAAAAGTGCTTGCTGCTTGAAGGACTAGGAAGACAACAACAATAATAATACAAAGCAATGAATGAATGAGATGTTTCTCAGCGTTTTATACAAATGTCACAGAATAGCATACAATTATACTAGCATTTAAAATACAGGAAAACAATCCGGTCATTTTACACAGCTCCAACTGCTTTAGACATGCACATGAGAAGGCCAAACATTTTATTGTTCATGAAGGTTATGTCCAGAAGTGAAACACATGGAATTACATAAAAAATTCCATGAACAAGAAAACTGCTTTGCATTTCTAATATTTTCGTATTATACCTAAAGTGGTCACATACAAAGTAGTAAGTGTGATAAAATAAAACAGCATTAAAAGCATCTGAAGCAACTTTACCTTCCTCAAAAACCTCTAGCAATCTGCTAGAATATTTAGAGAGCAAACAGCATTTGGACTGTACACACAGTTAGTTTCATCAGTTCATAACCTGGCTGCACAATAATCCCTTTGTATTAACATTTTGTTGACATGTTCAGGTAGATTTCTGTTTGTGCCATAGGGATACATTTGCAGCGCTATCTTAAGATGATGGTCTAGAAATTTAGAGAAGAAATTTACTGAGAAAGCACAGATTAAAAACCCCCTAAAACTATTGTGCAACAAATTGAATAAAAATTTCTGAATAAGAACTTCAGTTCTACTAGCAAGTTAGCTCTCTTGTTTTCCCAAAAGATTCTAATAGCTCTGCTTCATAGAATAAATAGAATATCTGAAATAAACCTAAGGCAGAGTTAACTACTCATTCATAACGTATGTATCAATATGACCATACTTCTGGCTTAAAAGGAGTGATTAGTATTGGATAACACATTCTTCAAACGCAATTCAGCATTCTTGGAATTCTACTGTTTACAAACAAAGACAGATTTGGAAAACAACAAACAGTTTGAGTATTTTTTTTCTGCAATAATTCAAATTTGAAATGAACACCAATTCTAATTTAATTCCTTTACGCCTAAATTTTGCAGTAGACACTCATGAAACATATAAATCCTTTTCCCAATGACAGACACTATACTATTTTCCCTGAGAGATTACTGTAGAAATAACAACAATTTGCCATTTGCAAAAAGTTCACTGCCATTACTGTCGGAAAGATCTCCCAGTTCACATAAAGTCCGCTTTCACAATGCCCCAGAGTACAAAGGACAGGAGAGGGACCACTCCAAATAGAACACTTAATTTTCTGGCTTTTGTGGGTTTAAGTCAGAGCCTTAATGTATTTGAAGACAGTTTTTTTTTGTCTGTGAATATTTATAACAGTGTGAAAAATACGGGACAGCTGGTAATGCATTTTGAAGTGTGCTAACAACACTGTATCAAACAGCTTCCTATTGATCACATAATGCTTTTTGTGGCTAAGTATTTCATACATGGTGCTTATACATTTTGAATAAGAACTTCAAGTACCTTTTGCTTCAAGCGGTTTTTCACTTCTTTTATTCCCATTTTTGCATGATCTTTTGCCTGCATGAAAAATTAATTTAAGTTAAAATCCCCTTCTATTTCCAGCAGTGACTAAGCTTGATTTCAGTGCATCAAGATTCACCTTCTCTAGTTACTAAAAATGGCAAGGAAAAAATTGTTACAGGATACTGAAAACATATTAAACCAAATAGAGAGCTAAAAAAACCCCAAACAAACAAAACCCACCACTACCACCACTACCACCCCTCCCCAGTCATTGCAAAAATTTTGTTTTCTCTGTTTTGACGCCACGGACATCTTTCACCTTTTTGCGTTCCACACCCTCGGTCTTCTCCTTTAAGTATTTATCTTTGCTATAAGCTAACAATCAACAGTAATAGTAAGCCTGCAAACTTTCTCCTTGCAGTACTCTGGATGCCAGTTCCATTTAGTAAGCTAATTCATCCTACTCATATCTCTCAGGCTGGAGGAAGGCAGGAGAAAATAAAAGTTTGAATAGTTATCTCAATGCTTTTTGTAGCATTATTTCCTAAAATTCAGCTTATAAGAAATCCTCACTTGTTTCTGTGTTGTTTTATCTTGCACAGTGAAACTGGCAGCCATACATGATAACACAGTAACACACTAGCTGTTTGTTAACAGAACTGAAAACATTTTCATTTAAAGAATAACTCAGTAAGTTGGGCTCTAAATAAGCAGGTATAAGAAATCCCCAGGGAAAATTAATTGACATTTAGAAAAGATCGAAACAATTTGGAAAATGAGAGGATTCCCTTATTCTGATGAAGCTGCAAGCAGAGAAACCTGAGGTAACAATGATTTCCAACAGAGTAATGATGAGATGGTAGAGCTGCTTAGTAGAGCATATAGGCACTATTTCCCAGAAATAGTTCTATGTAATAAATAGAATTTATCATCTATACTTTCAAAAGAAATCACAAGTTCCCCTCCTCCTTTGCATTTCAATTATGTTTAAATTTCAAAATGACTTTTCAATTTAAATTTGAAATTTAGATGAATGCATATTTTAAGTAATTTTGTGAGTCCAATAAAAATGAATTTAAGACTTGGGTTTCATTTGAAAGGTTAAAACAGAATCATAATTAGACTCTTATCTCAGTAGTAAGCCAGTACTCGATACTTACAAACTTATAGACAGTCTTCATGGCAGGGTTAGCCTTGGTCTTTACTGTATTTAAAATGGCTCCACTTCCTTTCTGTAATTATAGTAACAATAGAATAAATTTCATCAAAGCTCTTTAAATCAAACAGCAATCTAAAATCCACCATTCTTAACTTAAAATAACAAAGCATTAACTATGCTTATTAGCAGAGCTGAATATTAAAATAGTAAATTTAAAGAAAAAGAACACAAGTAAAAACATATTAAATGTTTCTCTGGTTCTCCAGAGGAACCCCAATACAGTTTTCAAATGAAAAATGTCAGTGTCTCCTAATATGATGACCCCCTTGTCTTATAGGTCATCTCACAAAACAGTGTTCTGCGATTGTTCCACTCACGCTTAAGGGTGTCCTGTACATTGCATTAAAATCCTAAACAAGTTTAAGACAAAAGCATTCTACCAAATACTCAATGCCTGGGGCAGAAAATTCAGTTTCAGAAAAGCCCATACATTCAATCTGAAGAAGAAAGATCTTCTTTTATTTTCCTTTTCATGATCCCACAATACTATTTATCAAAAGCATGCTGCCTTTTTAAGATCTAAGTAGTCAATAAAGGGATAAATTGAGGGAAAATGAAATCTAACTACAGTCATAAACATTAATTCTAGAATAGCTGAATTGCATGCAGTGAACATAATAAAAGTTGTAAGACAGTAATATGTCAGGCAGAAAAATCTGTTAGTCTGGTCAGTGTTTAACACATCTTCCATATGCTATTGACTATTGCTGTGCAGTACCTTATTTGATAAATCCAGGAGATGGGGAAAATCCAAGGAATAAAATCTTAGATAATTTTATAATTTCTTATTTCAGTGCAAAACTATACTTCCAGAGATAAATGCAATCAGATGCAGTTTTAAGATTTACTATTCTGTTACTACATGACAATTTATCTTCAATCAAGGGATTATTTTTATATTAATTTCTCAGCCATTCCCCTTTCTTATAATTTCAAAATTACTTGTCAACCTACATATTTATATATATTTATGCATATATATTTACCTATCTAACTATATGATGGGATTTTTTGCATGACTTATAAAATGTGTTTAATTCAAAATTATCAAGATAATATTGAGCCCAGCATTTTGTTTAAGGAACATAATTCCATTCATAACCAGGATAATAGGCAAATGGAATGCTACAAAACTCAATTCTGTCAGAAAATAATTCAGTCTTTCCTACTGACTCATACCCATAAACCAGAAATATTTCACTTTTCAATACATCAACATTTTATGCATCAAAAGAGACTTTTAAAATCAGCTGTCAATTATCAGCTATAACAACATATTATTCTCTAAAAGTATTCAAATTTTTAATTTATACAACTAGAGCACTAAACCAAAGAGATACAAAAAACACCCCAAACAGTGCTGTCCCCATTCAGCACTCACACCATTTAGCTTTTAATAGAGCTTTTTGGTGTGGCAACTTCTCCTTTTCTTTACTTTTCTATTAAAGGGAAAGGAAAACCACATTATTTTCTAAATTGACAATAACTTATTTCCAGCTGTGTCCAAGACATTAAAAGTGGGATTCAAAAACTTGATAATTCCTTTGGTGATTTTTTTTTTTTTTTTTTAAGTTTTTTTTTTTTTTGTTTTTTTTTTTTTTTTAAAGTTTTTTTTTCTTCTGTTCTTTACTTCATCTGAAGAACGCATTAGTTTCTCACAACTAAGCTCAGGCTGGTCACAGCTAAACACTGCAGGAAACAGATTAGTCATGTTCATGAGGACAGATGTTAACAGCCACACAGAACTGTACAATGGTCCAGTAAGAATCAGAATGTCTGTTGGAAGAAGATTGTGTTCTTACCCTTACTGTAGAGAGCCACTGGTGGTACAATTTGTCACTACCTAGAGAGAATCACAAAACCAAACAAACAAACTGTAACTCTCTACTGAATAGAAAACAAGCTAGAAATCTGAAGTGTTAGCACTCGTGGTTCTAGGAGCATGAAGAGTACAGAAACAGAACAGGACAACCATCCTTTTCTTTCAATGGAAACACAAGAACAAAAAAAAATTGACGGGATATCTACAATTTTTCTTTTACTTGCTAAGAGGCATTTCTATTTTATAAGGGTTTTCTTTAAGACATTTGAAAACACTGAGTTTTGGGTTTTTTTTTTTAAGATCGCTAAAAGAAATTTGTGGTAGTTCTGGGTAAAGCCAAGGCTTTTCAGCATCCTCCGTTGGAAGAACTCTTTTAGTTGCACTTTAGCCAAGTGGTAAAGCTGAGGTTTTGTAAGACTGAACAGACTTTATTTAAACTATCATACATTACTCAAACAAAGTTCTTGACAGAGGAAAGAACAAAAATTTAAGACACTTTAACCCACAGGGATCATTGCAGCCTCAGTTATTTAGGTGAGTAACCATAAAGACCCATTACATCATGATGGCCCACAAACAGTAAGTCAGGAACAATGTCTGAAATTACTTTAAAACACTGTATTTCTTACCTGCATATTCTCCCATATTTATCTCTTCTTCAAAAACATCACTGAAGCCCTCGCCGGAGTTAAGAAGATCCAGACGGCCATCAATGAACTACATCAGAGAGTGTAAACAAATCAACCATCCCATCCTTTATCTTTTCAGAAAGACTTTATTCTGCATTTGCTAGAAAAATCCCAATAGTCTTATCAGAAAGGGACTCTAAATAGAATGAAAATACAACCAAAACTGGCAAAATGTTTATTTACCAATGCAGAAAAGTTTGCTGCTTCACTAAAAAAACAGCATTCATGTGTTTGTCTATACATACATGTTTTCAGCTTCCCTGAAGCAGTAATATCATGTTGAACAGTAATATGCTTCCAGTACAAAGTTTACAGCAGATATATTGGGTCTAGGTATGCTCAGATCAAAACTGAGCACAGAGACCTTTAAGGGAAAAAAACCATACACCTCTTAAAATGTAGAAAGCCTTATCACCTGAATCTGAGAAATGCCAGCTAGCAGGAATTAAGGTGCTGCCAACTACATGAATTTTCCTCATTATGTGGCTGACAGATCAAGGAATATAGGAACAGCCCTCAAAAAAACTAGTTACATTGTTAAAGAATCTGCTTCTACGTTAGAGCAATTAAGCCAGTACCTGCTTAAAGAGCTGGAGCTGAATGGCATTCTGAAGAAACTGCCTCATGACAGCAGAACGATGGGACACAAATGTTTCTTCACAAAAAGTGATGGGTTCACCCTGTAGAGTTCAGAGCATTAAACACTGAAAAAGCATTGTCTGAATCCATTTGAATCCACTGCCTCCATTTTATCTACTTCCCTTCCAAAATAAATAGATAAAGTAGGCCTTACATAACATTGAGTGAACTGTAGTTTGTTTCCAGGTTTCAATCATGTGATTGAGAAACAGGTTGGAAACTGGCAAATTGCGTACCATCAAAATAAAACACATTTGCTTTATGCACATTTTGCAAATGCTGGTGAAGGAACGTTCATCATCCAAAAAGGTAATTTTACTTAATGTCCCCAAAATATGACACACAGTCATCTGAATTCTGTATATTCTGCTTATCTGCCTCAGTAGACCCAGCCAGTTAACCTGCACCAACAAGTCAGGATGTTTACTCTGTTCTCTCCACAGTTCAGACAGATTAGACTTTCATATATTGAATGAGTGAAATTTCTTTTTTTCACAACCTTGTTGGCAAAAGACAGAAATTGTTTTGCGGCTCTACTTTTATCTTATTTTAATGAGTTATGTTAATGCTGAAGTCTGCTGTACAGCTGCCATAAGGGCACAAATTTCCTCCACGCTTAAATCTACAAATACTCAATGCAGCAAGCAAATATATTTATTGAATTAAAAACAAGACAGTAAGAAAGAATGATAAAATTACAATGATGTGTAATTAATATGGAGGCTTTTTCATAATTGTATTAAATTATATTTGGACTCTTCATCTGCTGAGTGTTCAAAATCAACATTAGACAGCAAAAAACCTTTAAAATGGTTTTCATTCCATTTCTGAAGGCTTTTTATATCGGCAATCTTTTCTACCATTGGCTGTGTAAAGTCAGGATAACAGGGCCACTAAAATGACTGTGCTCAAAAAAATCCCATGCCACAGCATTGCTTGAGCATATTGGTTTTTCTCCACCAATTTGCTGGAAGCCACCATGTGGCCCCAGGACTTCTAACACCTAAGGCACACTAAAAGGATACTAAATCCACAAAACTATGTTGGCAAACTGTCACATTTCTTAAAATCTGTAGGTATTCACCTTTTTCCCTGAGTTCACAATCGATCAAACTTACTTATTGATACACTTCCTACTGAGGTCTGGTACTACCCCAGAGCTTATCAACCTGATGGCAGATAATCACCGATGATTGCCTGTCCTTTGACGTAACTAACCTCGCCATTGTAACTAAATGGCACAAACAGTTATATCAGTTTTTAACATAATTTATGAGGAAAGTGAAGGAAACATTTGGCTTCAAATACTCAGACCACAGTAATAAAATTCCTCCTGGCCCCCAATGAATTGGACAACCAGAATCACCAAGATGATATACTATGTACCTCACCTCTAACCCAGCAGTCAACAAACGCCACAGGTCACAGGTTGTCCTTAACATGAGCAAAAGGATCAATTGCAAGTGACTGTCTAAGCACAGGATGGTTCTCTTTCAAAGAGGGAAGAAGTCACGCTTTTAGGATAGTTTCTGTCACCCTTTCCTTGGGCCAATGAATTTCCATGGTTTTGGAAAAGCAAGCAGTTTTCTTATGTGACAACTACAGTTTCAGGATAATTAATTTTAAAGATAAAAAACTGTCTTTGATTTACTCTAGCAGGAATTTACAGGGAAAAACAAAATCACTACAGTCTTTCTGGGCAAGAAGCATGAGTGTGAAAAAACACATTGTTTTTTTTTTTTCCCCTGTCGCTTTGCTCTCATCAGGATAAAGAATCATAAGACACTTCATTTCAAAGTAAACAAAGGAAAAATGTTTGGAAAAACAGGTCTGGCTGGTATGTGCCTGGTATACAAGGCACTGGTGATAGTCTCCATGACACACTGACTACTGCCACGACAAAGGTCCTGTCTCAAAAATCAAGGTATGTACTGTCTGAAAGGTTTTAATGACTAACAGCTGATCACACACTCATGTTAGTAGACAGCAGAAAGGGACAGAACTTCTGCATGACATGGAAGTGTCAAAACAAGACTTGGAGCAAGAGGTAATTTGGCAAATGGAAAAAGCCATTAGTTGATTTTGAGATGGGACTGACAATCTGGATGAATATAAGCTCCCTATGCAAGAACTAAATATATTTTATTCAGCTATTACCATCCCACTTGAGATTTGTTTCAACTCTCTCAGGTACCAGGAAGGACAAGTCAGGATACTACAGAGCACTACAACTAGTAAGACAAAATCTTAGGAGATTGCAAATGCATCTGTTACTACAGAAACAGTAGTGACAGACACTGTCCAAGCATGGCCCAGGCAACAGTACAACAAACAACAGGATGTAACGGCTGCTTGACCAATATGAAAAAGGCCTTCCCATCAAATTCGGCTACCAGAACGTAACAAGGGATGCCTGAAGAATATTTGTCTGACATAGATACAATCTGGAGGTGAAAAGAGCTGGGAGGAATACATGAAGAAAAGTATAGATTAGCCCATGATCAGAGAAGAGGTTCACCAGAGGAAGGTTTAGCTTTCATTTAATCCTCACCTACAAAACACTTTAAAGGAAACAAGCAGCCCTTCCTATAATCTACAAGAACCTAAAATTTCTCTCATGGTCAAAGAAGAGTATGAACATTGAGGAAAGAACAAGAACTACACCCTGCCAAACAGAAGCTTCCTCTACTCCATTGTACATCCAGCACAATGACACCAGCTTCTCCTCTTACAATCGAGCTATATACCATCCCTATAAACATACATATTGCAGCTGCTGGAGCCCAGTATTATTATAGTCTTAACACACTTCCTTCCCCAAAGTACTAATGATTGAGTTTGTTCATTAGGTTGATTAGACCTTTTGACTTCTTAAGAGACAATTCAGGCTCAACTGCTGCTAGATGATAAGAAAAACTTTAAACATCAAGGTCAAGCATGAGCTTTTCAGCTTAGAATGCATTAGTACCTTCCATCCTCCACGACCTCCAGAAGGGTGAACACACTGTTGCTAACCCCCATCCACAGCTTCATTACAAAAGGACAAGCTGGACAATAAGACCATTTTCTTGACAGATTTAGTTAACTGTAAATTATAAAGCTATTCAGCTCTGCTTTTACTGACAGATGACATTATACATGAGGGAACATGCTAAGAACTGCAGATATTTTGTGAAATGAGCGGTCTTGCTCACACGTAAAACAATTTAATAACTTGCCCTGATAAACCCATCAACTCCTAAACTTGCTGTTTCCAACAATTTGAATTTAGGCCTTGACTCGTCAACACCTTAAAAAGCCATTATTCCCCTCTCCAATTATAAATGCATAACAGAGGCTAAGATATGGCATTGCAAATGCTCTAAACGCGTGCACAGTGCAACTCTACGAGGAATCTGATTTGATCTGTAATATTAGATAATTTACACGTATTTCAAGATTGGATCACAAAATTATTTTTTTAATACAAAAATTTACACATTTAATCTGCAATCTTAACACAAGAGAGAATTAACTTTAAAATATAAGATTAAGATTTAAGACTCCCAGATGCACTGAAAAAATAGGTGCATTTTCTTTATGCCTTTGCAAATCTCCCTTTATATGAATATTTTATATTCATATGGCATAATGAAGTTCATCAGGGCAGTGCTGCTATCTCATGACCATGAAAAGTTTCAGCCCACATCTGATCTGTTGCCAGCCCTATTTTTAAATTGGAATTCTGTTACATTCTAAAATAACGTTTGAAACTACTTAAGGCAGCAAGTGAAAAGCAAAAGGAGTCTAGGACTTACTTCAGACTGTTCTAGAGTTTCATGAAACCTGCTGTTATATTTTAAGAAGCCATCATGCAAATTGAAAGATAAAACCTGATTTTGGTTAGCTAAGCTGTAAAAAATTTCACTATGATCCCCCATCTTTCAGTGAAATCACTTTTCCTCAGAAAGAACAACTTTCAGAAGAGGGTACAGGACGTCGTGCAGACAGTTATTGTGAGAGAAGTATCATATCTGAATTGTCCAACTTACCATACTCGCAGACAGGCCAGCTAACTGGTTATGGCAGTAACTTTCACAGTGAATATAAAGGACTAAAAATACGTGGAACAGAAGACAGCACAGATTAGAGAAAGACTTGGAGGACGGGACAGAGACAAACATAAATGATACTTCTGGAAAGACACACAGGTGATAACATAAGTCAGGGAAGCCTAACTATTCCCACTCCTGCAAGAGATGAGACACCAAACTGTGCATCTGGGTAATGCAGCTTTAAAGCCAGCATTTGACTGCTGGAGAAAACAGAAAGATAATAAAGACAGGGTTCAAATTAGGTCAACAGTGAGTCTCTCTTGCACAAGCAAAGATTTCACAAAACTTGATTCTAAGGGTAAAAAAAAACCAAAAACCACACACACAAAAAAACCTCAACCCAAACCTGAAGACTTTATGTTTAGACAACCCTAAAAGTTATGCCATGGAAGATATATGTAATCTCTTCTGCATTATCATGGTCAGCATGTGGTGCAGGGTAATGAATTTTGTGCTGCTGTATGCATGCCTTTAAACCATGTAGGTGCTCTTTCAAAGCCTCTCTAATAAATACACAAGCCATTAGAGCTGCTCTGTAAACCAGCCACGAAATGAAAAAATGTGGGTGGAATTTAAAGGTGCAGAACAAGATGACAATCTGATAGTCTACAAGCCATAAGTCTAGTGTCAGTATACTATGCAGCAAAATCCCATATACACAGCAAGAACAATGACATGCAAGGGATTCATATATCACTGTTTTATTACTACCTAGATGTTGCAAATAACCACATCCTTTACTAAAATTGGTTATGTTGCAAATGACAAAGTAAAGCCTGTAGGGATATTCTAGGAATCATCATCCTTAATTCCATCCAGAATTATAATGAAACTAAGATTGGAGAATGATCTTACTGATCTGGATATATATGTCAATGTCAGATACAACAACAACCAAAGGCAAGCAACTGCTCTGCAGACCTTTCAAGAATTGTGATTACAATGTC